ACTCAAAAAATCTGAAGTAAAAAAATAAGGATTTGGCAGACTGCTGCTAAATAAGTTATTAAATACGAATGTTCACTAATGAAAATATTTTTTACTCAATTTCCAAGCAGTAACAATCAGATAAAACCCCATATGATTTTATATAAAGAAAACTTCAATGTAATTCATATTCCATCAGCATAAATTATTCGGACATTGAAATAAAAATTAGTATCACAAATCTTAACTGTGAGATTCAAAACAGGCCATATAATTCGCTCGATAGCATCACATACTTGTAGTTTACAGAACTATCATTATCTTTTCTATCTTTATTTAATAGATATATAAAAACTTATTTACTACTACTACTTATTAGCATAAACCATTTTAAAAGCGTTTAAATACTCACAGACACAAAAGTTTTCAGTGAAAGTGGTAACATTTTTCCTGCAACTATGGTGATCGGACATTTTATTCATTCTACAAATATTCTAAGGCTACTCTTGAAACTTTTCGATTGCGTTGTCCAATCGCAATGATAAATAGCGAGCGACAAACAAGAACTCTAAAATGAATGATGTTTTAGTTTAAATGCTATTTTTTTTTCCAACAAATTCTTAAATATGTAAACAAACAGATAAGTATTGGAAAACATTATTTTAGATATCTGAAACTGATATTCTGACTACCAATATTTTAATGAAATTGCGCTTAGTTATTACCTTATCCACTATCTGATTCCCAAACCAGCACGGCAATAGAATCAGTACTGTTATAACAATTAAGTATGACGTCAGAAAAACAAAATATGAGGCGGATGTTGGCTAAAAAAGGTAACCATTTCTTTATAATTTAGTTCTATCAATATGACCATTATTTATATTTCTCAGCATTTACAAAGTTCATAAATTTAAGTACCTACTTAGTAAAATTACATTTATTAAATAAACATACTTACTAATGTAAATCTATAAAGGCAAACGCAGATAACACAAGATGCAAAGCTTAGTTGTATAAATAACGTAATACTAAACGTGATATAACGTGATACTTTAAAAAATAGCATTATTCAACGTTTATTTCATTTATACAGTGGTTATTGTATCAGCAAAATTTATAGAGATAACAGAAACGAAATCAAAAGAAAAACAAACAAAATTTATCAAGGCCGATATCGACATTGCGAGGTAGCCTCGAAAGTCAATCTCGCGGAGAAGATCAGAGTTTTGACAATCAATTTGAACGTTAACTGGTGCTCGATATTGACCGCTTATTTACAAGGGACGCAAGTGTATGTATTGCCTTACGCCACGTCATGATATGGAACTTTCTTTTGAGGCTCGTCGTGGCTAGACAATAATCGTGAGGTATCGACTGTAAATGTAAATGAAGCACACCGCGAGACTTTGGAGTCGATACTGTCACTTTGAGCGCACCGCTATATTGCTATTGATTACTGCTCAAACAACGAGCAGTCTCGCAGTATGGATACGCACCTTTAGATTTTACAAGTTAACGAGTAATAGACGACCAATTTTTAAAATGTGCGTACTTGAAGAACTGAAAAGAATTGTTAAGTTAATTTTGTAAAACATTATTACATATTATACCCAAAGGGTAAAACGGAAACAATAAATACTAAAAACCAGAAAAAAATATTTAATAGGGATCCCCATGCAGCATATGTGATTTATTTGTTCGTGTCCGGTACAGAAAATTTCGTGCGCGAGTCCGACTAGCATTTGGCCGGTTTTTTTTTATTATAAGTAGTAAGAAGTACACTGACTAACTGTTTTCATAACAAGTAATCAGAGAGGGATATTTTTTTATTACCTACCAAGCAATTTCTGGATGATAATATATAAAAAATAAAAGTAACCAAAAATCACCTTGTTACTTCGTCATAATGACGAAATAATTCATTCATCTTCAAATGTAAGGACTTTTCAGGATTTGTTTCATCATCTTGATAACTTTTTGTCAAATCACGTAAATTGATATCGAGAGTCTCCAATTGGGCAATTATAAGTACTAAAAATCCAATGAAAAATGTGTCTATGTTCATATTGAATTGCATATGGCAAAACATACCGAAACTTTGATAAAAGTACAGAGCATAGAAATATTTTTTAATAAAATTATCAGATAAAAAACTATATGTGCAAATTGGTAACGGCAAATCTACATTGAAGAAGAAATATAGAACTAAAGGGGTTGCCAGAAATGCCAGGAAATATAAATTGACGATAATGCTATCATATTGTAATATCTTCTAATGAATTGCTTTGCGTCTTTCACTTTATTGTTTCCCAATTCTGAAATACCTTTGAAATTCTTTTCTAACGTTGATAATATCATAAAAATTTTATCTCGTTGCAAGTAAAAGGTTAGGCGCTTTAATACTAATATTTAGGCAACTAAAATACAATATTGTTAGATCAACAAAAGCATCGATCTTTCTTGGCAAATAATAAAAATTAATGGTCTATAAAACCACGTAAACTATAATGTTGATTATTATGAAAACCGTGGAATATATTTTGTAATACGGTATCTCATCTACAATAGGCCATATGCCAAGGAACTTTCAAATATTTCATTTGAATATTAAAACAATCTATCTGTTTGCACACCATTGTTCGTTTCTCGAAGTCTGAACTATAGATACGCCATTTTTTCCGTGCTTCCGTATATGTAGATTCAAGCCACAAAGGTAAATTGTCTGACTTCTAATAAACGATACGACATTAGCATCCATTTTAATTAAGACAAGTACAAGGTACACATATTCGAACGTATGGTTTCCTTGAAAAATGTTCATTTTCGAGAAAATTATACGTTCAAAGACAAAGAACGTATAACTGGCTCGGGAAAATTAAAATTAAAGTACATATGTTTAGTAAATACACAAGATTCTTTTGTTATGCTTTTTTTTGTTATTGGCAGATATTGTCGTTTTTACACAGATTAATTTTTTATTATTTCTGCCTCTGTAAGGGATCTGGCGTAACACAAGCGCATACAGGAGATAAAATTCCCATGTTCTTTAATAATATATTAACCTTTTTATTATATTTGATAAATTTTGCATTCACTATGCTACACTGAAAAACATTCCTAATGAATTAAACAATTAACTTTGTCTCTGGCATTTGAAATTTTAAATATTTGTAAAAAATATTTCTATTATAATATGATTAAGGAGTAAATATACCTAATTAGGTCAAACAAAAGTACAAAATCTTGATTCTTAAGTGTAACTTTTTTAATTTATGTTACATGGTATTTCGTTATAGAATATTTTATGATTAATTATTTTCATAATTTATAAATTTTTCATAACATAAAAAACCTGAACGTAATCAATGGACGGGTGTGCAAATGAAATGCAACGCTAAAATGGATATAGGTTAATTGCAGGAAGAAATATTTATTTTAATGAGACGCAATTAGTGGCAACGTCGATTAAAGGAGTTTGCTTGGAGCAATATACCTATTAATTTCCACAGGTTAAAAATAATTATATTGGTAGGATTTATGGTTTAAGTAGCTCGGTGGCGTAGTGGATAAGCGCCGCGGCCCGCGATCGTAGTCGTTAAGCAACTTTCGCAAGGGTCGGTCACGGGATGGGTGACCAAAAAAAAATATTATCTCGAGCTACTCCGTGCTTCGGAAGGCACGTTAAGCCGTTGGTCCCGGCTGCATTTGCAGCCGTTAATACCCTCCAATCCGCATTGGGCCAGCGTGGAGGGTCATGGCCCATCCTCCTTAACCATCCATAATATAGGGCTGGTGATGGTATTACTATAACTTTACGATTCAGTAAATTTGTGTAGGTAAAGCGGCGCAGAGTGCAAAATGAGCAAAGTTTATATTTTTTATTATTTAAAATAAAAAGAAAAAACATTTATCGCCATCGAACATATGTATAATCGCCTTATTTTCAATTTTGAAGTCTGTTAATAAATATAAGAAAACAGATGTTTCCTTATTCCCAAATGGATCCCAAATGGTTTTAGAGCTTGTTTTATGGAAATCTGAAACAATGAAATTACCACATCACCCAGACCCATTATTTTTCTTCATTAGCTCGATCGCGAATAGAACCTAAGTCTTTAGAGATGGCAACACTTAAAAACTTGTGATCGAGCCAATCGGTAATAAGGACCGTGAATATCATTCGGATAAATTTCTTATATGCGATTAAAAGCACCTCCGTAGTTGGGTTAGCTTTCTGTTACCTTTGTATTTTTATTCTAAAAAAATAAACTTTTAAATAAAAATTGAGAAATTGCTAGCGTAACAATATTTTTAGTTAAAAGTCGTGAAAAAGAACAAATGAATATCGAAGTATTTTTTTTATTTTTTCGAATACCGCTATGACTTCAAGGTTTTGAATGTATACAACCTCATTAAAAGTTCGTATCGCGTAGTTTATCGCCGTATTCACAGATATTGAAGCGTTTTAAATTTAAATAAATAGAACTAAATTACGATAGTTATCAAGATGTGGATGTATAATGGATCTTATTTATGGTCCATTTCTAAGCAATATCATTTACATATTAGGCTGAATTAAATTTGATAATTATATACGCACATGTTTTAATAAGTTTTAATCAGTAATTTATTAGCATATCAGTTTATTTAATGCTATTTATCCATATGGATATTTCAACCCAATCATATACCTTTTACATAAGTTTTACAAAATTATATCGTTTAATAACGTATATACTTTTAAACTAGAAGAAAGTTTTAAAAAGACAGTAATATGGGCATTACACATTAAGGACACAATATTATTTAGATATATAGGTAAAAACAAATAATGAATGGTTGTCTATTAATTGTGTTTATTTGAAAAATTGTGTTATTATAAATTCGCCGTTGTTTGATCCATTTTACTCTGATACTAGCTCCTACATTGAAACAACTGTATGACTGTATTATTCTTCACATGGAGGTGGTTTTATTCTACGCGTGAACAGTGCCTAGGGGCTTCGTTACTACACGAATCATCCCTTATTCCCTTTGGAGCGCATCTTTCCATTGTTCCATTCTAAAGCTGACGTGTAACTTCGGATCTGTAAAGAATTTCACCGCAGTATTAGGTTTCCTACAACAGCATAAATTTAATTATTTTACGTTTGTGTACGTCACATGGTCTTAAATCTATTCATAGTATACAATATAGTCGCTTCCCGCTGTTATTACGATGAGATCTATTAAACTAGAGAACGGATTTTAATACGGTTTTCATTAATTACGGAGTGGTTCAAGAAGGAGGTTTATATGTACGAGTAATAGAGGATCATACTAGCCATTAGCAGAAATATTATTAATATAGTTACAGTATCAGGATTTTAATGTACCCATTGCTGGAGCATAGAGCTTTCCTATGGATGGAAACAAATGGCGAGAACAGACAGTAACCAACTATGTGTGAAGGGTTTGATTAGTAGACACCAACGACGCTAAATGCAGCCGTGATCAACAGCTTAACATGCTTTCCGATGTATGGCTCCTCGAGATACATAATCTTTGGTCACAAGATTCTAGGTTCTGCTTGGCATTTGGATCGTAGACCCGCCATCGAGCTACTACCCTCATACATTACAATCATGAAAGTATGACTAAAATATCTGTTTGTAGTTACAATTTATTGAGTTTAAAGTAATGAATCAGATGATATAATTGTAGTAAAATGAAGTCAATTTGATTTCTTGACTACTTACACTCGTATTTCTATAGTCGAGAGAAGTGATTACTTGAATGTCATAACTTAAGCAAATAATAGTATTCTAAGTATTAACAGATCTAATTTCATTCAAATTCTTTCACGTAATATTATAATACAAAATCAATTTGTTCGCAAATGGCAAAACATTGAATCTACCTTTGAAGGCAAATTACCTACTTAACGTCAGGCAGCCAAAATTTTAATTATTAATTCTCGTTTTCCAAGTGGATTTGCCAAGGAAAATAGCCGAGTCAGTATAGATAATCTGAATTTTTAAACAGACGGCACCGGCGATTAATCTACAAGCCCGCAGGGGATTTCCCCATAATAAGCGATTTGCATTATACAGTCACGATTCAACTTCAAATTTTGAATCGTTCATTTTAGAGCCGATTTGTATGGACAAGCGCAATATGAAAACGGTGAAGGTAACCAAACTTTTTAACACATTAAAACTTATAAATTCTTTCCTAACGCTTAAGCTTCATTGTTCTTTCATCACACGCGTTACTGCGACAGAGTACATCAGAAGGTAATCAAATGTATGTGCTTCATTTTTTATACCTACGCTCGGCGGTCGCGCTTAGTTTGTCAACTTTAGCTTGTGCACAAAAAACTATCATAGTAGTCACACTTGTTTATATTTTTATTAATTGTATTTATTTATATATATATTAATTTAATGTGGAGAATAAAACAGAAAGAAAGAAAATATAAACTAATAAAAACTAAAATATTTTAATTGTAAAGATATTTTTTACCAATATTTAAATTGGAATTGAAACGATTACTATATTTAAAAGTATAATAAATCCGTTTTAGACGGAAATCTATCATATGACATAAAAACAACATAATATCTACAAAAATGGTAGCTCGGTGGCGTAGTGGATAAGCGCCGCGGCCCGCGATCGTTGTCGTTAAGTAACTTTCGCAAGGGTCGGTCACGGGATGGGTGACCAAAAAATTATTATCTCGAGCTATCAAAATCAGTCGAAACTAATTTCTGTCCTCCCATGCCACCTCCAATGCAAAACCTGATGGTTCACTGACTCACATCGCTACTGAGTAAACTTATTTATTTGCCTCTCCATTTGCGCCTAGACGCTGGCTATAAAATCCCTTCAACTTTACCTCGATGTGATTCTTCAATACCACGGATCACAATACACAATAAAAAGGTCCGGCAAGTGTTAAAGCGTTAAGACGTGAATAAGGCTAATGGACCTGATGGCATACCTGCAAGAATTCTGAAGAACTATGCACCAGAGTTGTATCCTGTATTGACACGCCCGTACCGTCTCTTTCTAAGTAGTCAAAAGTGTCTCTCAAAGTCCAGGAAGCTTGCTGGTGTGCAACCAGTACTCAAAAAAGGCAGCCAAGCCGACCCTTTTAATTATCGACCCATCGTTATCACCTCCATTATTTGCAAAGTAGTGGAAAGAATACTCAATAGCAAATTATTGACTTACCTTGAGCAGAATGATCTTCTTAGTGACCAGCAAAGTGACTTCCGCCATGGGCGGTCCACTGGGGATCTTCTAGCGTATGTCACACATTGCTGGGGAGAGGCTATTGAAAACCACGGGGAGGCACTTGCAGTGGCTCTCGACATCTCGAAGGCTTTCGATAGGGTTTAACATTCAAGTCTGCTGAGCAAGCTTCCAGCGTATGGAATCCCTGCTGGTTTTGCTACTGAATATTTGACTTCCTTAGTGAACGGTCAATCAAAGTGGTCATCGACGGTTGCTTCTCTGATCTAAAAACGATCGATGCTGGGGTCTGTCCTCTCTGCGACCCTTTTTCTGCTGCACATTAACGATCTGCTAACTCCAGGCATTGTTGGGTATGCGGATGACAGCACAGTTATAGGAGGTATTTATCCGAAGCAAGGGCCAGTGGACAAGACCTGCATCAGTTAAGAGAGACCATTGTCATGCATATGAATGCTACCTTAAATCTTGTCTCCCAATGGGGTAACAACAATTTGATCAGCTTTAATACCACCAAAACGCAGACGTGTCTTTTCAGTGCAAAAAGGATTCACTTCGACCTGACTCCTACTTTCCGGGGTGCATCTATTACTGTGACGGACAGCCTTGAGCTGCTTGGCATGAAGTTAACTGCCAACCCCAACTTTGACGAATACATTGAGAACAAAGCACAAACAGCGGCCAAATAGCTGGACATCTTAAACAGGGTAAAGCAGTACTTCACACCGGAACAGCTGTTGACTCTATACAAAGCCCAAATCCGATCGTGTATGGAGTAATGCAGTCAGTATGGGATGGATCAGCTAAGTATCACCTTGCCGCAGTGTACACGATGGAACACAGAACCAAGAGAATTATTGGCGTCATAAAACTAGTCGAATCCAAGCTGCGCAGCCTGAGCCATCGCCATAATGTCGCCATAGTGGAACTCCCTGCCAGCTTCTATATTCCGGCGTGCATAAAACCTAGACTTATTTAAGGCAAGAGTGAATAGGTTCCTTCTAGGCAAGCTCGTCTCATATATGTCTCATATATGCCCTTAGGATAGAAGGATTTTATATCTTACTAAGTGATTCAAACAAATACCTACGTATTTGAAAAATATCTTTTAGTGTCTTTTTTTAAACCGTGTAACTGTTATACTCGTATCTTCAAATTACTGAACCGACTTTGATGAAACTTAGGCTATTCTGTCAAATTGTAAGCTAAGTTAAACAAATATCATTGTGAAACGATTTCTAATTTCCGAGAAATACGTACACAAGACAACTAAACACTTACAAAATTACATACACGTGTTACAAAGCCTATATAGATTGACACTTAGGTGAATATTCACGAAATAACATCCTTGCAAATTGATAACCTACTCTTTAAAAGTCGAAGTTAAAAAAATCTAAACATTCGTAATCCCTATATACCTATTTAATGCTTATCGATTTGTTAATGTAATAGGTAAAGATTAGGATTTATCATCATTAGCTCCACTGCAGGGACTGAAGCCTTCCTTATGGATGGCTAAGGTCTATGGATTATCATCCATGTTGACCCAATATGGATCGGAGGGTTTTAACGGCTGCAAATGCGTCCGGGACCAACAGAGTACCGTACTTTCCGAAATACAAAGTAGCTCGAGATAGTATTTTTTGGTCACCCATGCCGTCACCGACCTTTGCAAAAGTTGCTTAACAACTTTCACGAGCCACGGCTCTTATCTACTACACCACTGAGCTACACAAATATATAGTCATACTATTAATCATGGTATATACACATAAATGTTCTAAATTAAAAATTAATTCGTGCAATTACACAAATCCTGTAGTGCCGATTCGATCATGGTTCTTGTAGGTAAAGTCAATGTTTACCAGTAAAACTAATGTTTACACCCTCATTCAAACTTGATGTGTTAGCAGTAATATTTAATTGGCGCGAAGCGTGTGTTTAATATTATTGTTTCAAGAGATCGTTAACCGAATTTAATTAATGAAACCTAAGGCGTACCCTAATCTAGATGTGAAATATTGTATTTTATAACTAGACTGGTAAGCAAATAATAATAATTTTCTTTTATTACTACCTACTTTATAATGTTTCGTATAAAAATCTCTGTTAGTTCTTAATTGAGTTAGTAATTGTTGCTATTGTTAATTGATATACAGTGACTACTAGACGTACAATAGGAACAGGAAATATATGGCACAAAAATTTTAAACAAATGTGAACCCAAAAGCGAACCTTACGGCACTCATTCTCCTTTTAATTCAATTCAGTATTTACTGCGCACTGCAAAGCAGTAGAGTGGAATTCACTGCTTGTCCCACATTAAAGATCATCCTCACCCCTCGAGTTGAATATTGCGTCCATTACAAATAAAAAAAAATATTGTTGAATCTTTGTGATAATTCAAATTAAAAAATATATATATATTGCGGTATTAAGTTAAATAGAAATAAGAGTCATTAATTTTGCATTTCTTCAATATAAAGTATGTTAATCTCTCTCAAGAACACATTTTAATAGAGTGAAAAATGAATATGAAGTTTTGATTATCTGAAACAAAAAATAATTCAAATTAGATGTATTATTTGGATAAATAAATTACTATTTGAATGAAGGTATTAATCCATCATTCTCATCGTTTTGTGTATAAAGTTTATTGAGAACAAGACACGGAGTTAATTCTAAAGAATCCAATTTAACAGAACGTTACTTCTATCATAAAGTAATTGGTATTGAAGCAATATTGTTATAACTGAGACCAAATTTAGATTATCATCGGTATTACGAAACTTAATAAGTCTTAATATCCTGTATTTATATTTATTATAGCACAAAACATAATTTCAATGGTTAGTCGTAGAACCTCAACTCACCGATGTAAATGTAGCTAAAGACAGACGGAACATTTTGAGGCCGGTGATGACGGCAGGTTTCTTTGCGCGCTCCACCATCAGTCGCAGGCTTCTTTTGAAGCTCTCTGGTCTAGAGATCCAGTCGCTACAGTATGCCGAGAACACCAAATGTTCACTCTGTATGAAGTATGAACAACAGTAAAAACTTAGTATTAAATTTCTTTACCATGCGTTGAGGAAGTCTAACTAGCTCGAGACGTTAACACGCTCAGTATACGATGCGGAAGCAAAGCAACTTTTGCAAAGGTTATAGGATAGGACCAAATTATTAACTCGAGTTCGTGCTTCGGAAGGATCGTTAAGCCGTTGATCCTGGATGCATCTGTAGTCGTCATTAAACACTGTTCGAAAAATGAAATTAAATGAAAATATCTTTATTCAATTAAGCTTCATACAAGCTCTTTTGAATCGTCCAAAAAAATTTTTTCCCCTACCACTTGTTCAGGACGTCTTTTAGCTGACGGATAGCTTTCCGCTCTGGGCCTATTTCCTGGGTTATGCCCAGTATTCCCTATATGATTCCATAGGAAAAGCCTGTGTCCCAGTAATGGGCACATTAACAGACTGATAATGATATGATTTTCCAATTATATTCAGTGTCAAGGAGCTCGAGTTAACGGTAAAAATCTCAAGTAAAAGATAATAGGTAAATTACCTCTCGTGTCAATTCTGCTCCCAAGAATGCTGGATAAAATATTTCTAGTGTCATAGCGATTGTGTAACATATCATGAACACAAAATCCTCACGTGACATAGGCTGTACAGGTACAAAAAGATATAATACAATAAAAGTATTGCAAATAGAAATGTAAGTTGCTATTGATTGAGTAAGCTTGTGCAAAGTACATAAGTAAGCATTTAGATATAGTAACAGCTAGTTTAATGTTAGCACCCACCAATCGGCACTTGGGCTACATGGAGGTTTAATGTATTTGAGATTAGAATAAACCAAAATTCCTCAAAGAAGTATTATTAGATTTATAAGCTTATTAACTGCAAAGATCGCACATATTTTTTTTTTAACTGTGTGTTGGGTAAAAAATCGATAGATACAATCAAAAACGATGACAATGATATACAAATCGTAACAGCCCCGGTTGCGTATTGAGCAAATAAAGATATGCTCATGATCACTTGTATCTTATGACAGTATCTGAAACACAATGAACGTTTTTATATAATGTACTTTAATAAAAAATAAATATAAAAAATGAGTAACATCAACTTTGCTATTCTGTAATAATAGTAATATTATTAGAGGTTCAATTATGATCTTTGTCTCCTTTTCAAATAGGTATATTGAACCGCTAATGTTGCCATAGCGCTGTGTTCGATGGTATGTATTTAACAGAATAGCAATGTTGAGTAATTTTCTTTACTTCAAAATCACGTCGTAATGTTTTAAACATTCATCTAGATGGTCTTTCAGTTGGATCTCATGGTCTAACTCATTTGTGTCTTGATTTATCAGATGAGATATTTTCCAATTAAGTACTTTGTATTGAGTTGTAGCTGTCATGATCAAACCGCATATAAATGGATCTACACTAGCATTTGATAATACAACCAATAGTATACTAGCATACTGATATAAAAATAGAAAGGTGAAATGTTTCTCCCGAATCTCGTCACTGAGAAAATAGTATTGACATTGTGGTAGCTCCAATATGCTACTTGACATTATCCAGTATTCAATAACTGGTATTAAATATATCATAATACCCGTACAATAGAATAGTGTACATGCTATACGATATTTACTAAAAAAAGTTTGATTATTTTTAATAATCGTCTTTGTAGTTTCTTCCTCGCCTAAAAACATTTTGGAGTCAAGTATATCGAATAATTCCATAATGTCTTTTTGTTTAACTATGACCATGATAATTTTTACTCTAGCAGCAATCTCAGAGAAGTAGAATATACACTGATTTATAATTATAGCCAAATTGACTGGCGTATAAAAGAAATTTAATGTGAATAATAGCCAGGACAGGAAACTAAATGAAGTGATCATTGCGCAGTAACACTTGTAAGATAAACTGGATTTCTTTTCCGGCCAGAAGCCAATGATTGTCATTAACATAATGTTGAATTTGAAAATTGCAGACTGACGTTTTGGCGACATTGTTCCGAATACATTTCAGAATTACACTCACTCAAATATAAATACCCGTAAAATAGAGACCCTTCGGTAGTTAGCTGTTAATTTTACATTATATAAATGTAGGTTCATTTTTACAAACTGTATGATTATCTACTCACTTAAGTACCATTAAGTGGTTTAGAAACTGTTTCGTAATTCTGAAAAAGGCTTTCTGTTTTATATTTAATGAAGTGACCTAATAATGACTGAGGTGTGAATAATATCCTATTAATCAAGATTTAATTTCAGAATAGCAATATCTTGACATTGTTATTATAGATTATTCTTCGTTTTTAAGTTCCGTTCTAATAATATTTATGCAAGGATAATTTATTTATTTGTTATTATTTTATAAAAAATCTAAAGCCATGATTTTGACATATATATGGATTTATTTTATCAATGAAATGTTTTCAATTTTATCACTGATTAAAAATACCATAGATTTATTACACGATTTATTGTAATTTTAGGTTAAAAAAAAACATTAACCGATAAAACGGATTTGTGTTGTCGTAACTAACCTTTCGTATCGTTTTCATTCCTTAGATTCATATCACTAACTTTGCTCATATCGATAATCTTTTTAGTATTTTCCATTTATATTCTTTACTTGATCCATTCTATAACTGTGGACCTTCAATTTTATACCTGTAACCATTAAAATTTTGTAATATAAACTTATCCAAATCTCTACGAACTTTCATCCTATGTTTTTTACTATTTACACTAATGTGAACCCTTACCTGTAGCTTTCATAGTTTTTCGTTATACATTTTACGAATTCTAATCATATTTAAGTACTTATTTATATATTATAACACAAATTATCGCTAATTTTAATTGTTTTGACATAATTGACATCAAAGTTTTTCTTCGTTGCTATGGTTATATTTGATACTCTTCATGAAAATTGACTCATTGTTTGTCAGTTTTAGGCATTGAAACTCTGTAGTTTTTGAATTTTTAGGGTTCTAATTTGAAATCATTTACTTCTAAATTTGAGTTCGTCTTCAGGTATAAATAGCCTCGCTCAAATAGTTCTTGATCACTTCAACGGCAACAGTTGCCAAGTTAGCTTTTTGGAGCTCGTACAGAGCTAGCTAAATTCTTAAAAGGCCTATTTCCCGGGGCCGACTGCCCCGGGAACTCTTCAAAGTTACGGTCTCAAAGTCGCATGACATCTTTCTGGCTTTAACTAGACGACAACAAATCAATACTCCACTATAACCTCCTTCGCTACTTCACTCCTGGAGGCTGGCTGCGAGTATACGCCTTAGGCCCGAGCTGCTGCTCAGTTCTGGGCTACCGAAGAATCCCCTGTTCGACGCATCGAGACTACGCCTCGCCGATTTACGCTCTCGGTTCTTGGCTGCCGAAGAATCTCCAGTACGACGCATCGAGACTACTCCTCACCGATTTACGCTCTCAGTTCTTGGCTGCCGAAGAATCTCCTGTTCGACGCATCGAGAGACTACGCCTCGCTAAATTTACGCTCGGGATCCAGACGCCCCTCAAGACTGCTGAAGTACTTCATCAACGGAACTTCACCGCTGACCCACGCCCCTTCACCTACACTGACACTCTCACTCACACTTCTACACTTTTCACCTCACTAATCACCTCGTCCCTTTTATTTTATTTTTTTGTTTAATGTAAATAAATTATTAAATTTGATTTATCATCTTTTAGTTCTTTTTATATCTTGTTTCATAACAGTGTTTAATTAGCAATTAAAAAATATTATCTTGGTATATGAAAAATATATCTGAGTTTTTCACATTAAGCCGATTTAAGTCCTTTCTTGAGTATTTTATTATCTTTTTCTTGTCTCCTGGCCTTATCTCTATACGGAGTCACACCCCCTGATATTTTTCCGCCATTCTTGGCGATTTTGAATCATATCTGGGTTAAGGCCCAACCTCTCCAATTCTACAAAGACAGTTCGAGTCCAGGTAGCTTATCACCACCTTTTATCCAACGATGATAGTTTGTGAATGTCTTAATGAAAGCTCGAAGTAATGTTACTTTCAATTTATACCCATGACCTCCTTATAAGTAATATTGTTTGAATGAACGATAACGTATGAAACAAATGATATTGAATAATGTCTATTCTCTGCTAGAAAATTCCATGACTGTTTTGAAAAGATTCAAAATATATTTTTACGTGCATAAATATACCAAATAATACTATTAAGCAGTTTGAGTAGTGTTATTAGCTTGTGAAAGAATTGGAGAATAACCTAACAGACAGTGACTACTATTGAAATCCCCTACGTAAACCTTTTAGCAGTAGAGACGAAGGTAGCTAATTCTTTACTTACTTTCTTTTAAATGCAATAACCTTAAATATATTTTACGTCGATATAATTTAGTTGTAAACTTTCATATCTTTTTTAGGTATTAATCACTCTCTCTCTATATAAATGAAGGCAACCGCATAAACGCATGTGTAAAACTTATTTATTAATATAATTTAATAGAAACTATCAATTTATTTTAGAAGAGATAATTGTGTTATTGTGGTTTCAACACACGTCTAACTAATTAATTACCTATTGTTCATAATTTCAGATCCGTTATAAAATGTTCTTATTTTATAACGGATCTGAAATTATGAACAATATATATACAAATTAGGTAGTTTCAGAGACAAACGTGAGTCCTTGTCACGTTGCAAGATTGACGTCTATCCAGCAGCGCCCCATTAAAATGAATACCAAAAAGTTTTTAAGGTCATCATTTAATCCCTTATATATATTTTTTGACTTTCTGCGAGATTGTTGATATATAGTAGTTTATTTTACTCGAGACGAAGTATTGTAAAATAAACTACTATATATCAACAATCACAAAATATTTAACAGCTCTAGTTAGGCATTCCAATCGAATATTCTAGTTATAATATTTTATCAATTCACTACTAAAAAATATTCTTAATGAAAAATGCCTAGAAAATCCATTTATTCTAGCAATCTGACACTCTGGGACTTTCGCAATCCGGGCGACTTTAACCTCACATTCTCATATTCTAATCTCATATTATCGTGAAAATACTGTTATAAGGTGATAAAGTCTAGAATCGAAATAATTGCTTACCTGTGAATAATCCCTTATTTAGTAATTGGGTTTGACCCATAGTCCCCTATGTTGTCGAGTAAAAGTAATTACCTACCCGAGTACTCGAGAGATAAGTACAAATCATTTAATCTATAGATGAGAATTTGAATGATTTAGTACCTATATTAGCAAATAATAAAAAAAAACCTTTTTGTATTATGTAAATATTGTTTTAAGAAATGTAACACGAAATTATTTGATTTTATAGCACTTAATACTTTTTTTTTCAGTACTGGATGAACTTGAATGAAAGTTCTTAAAGAGTACATCTATGTCAAGGGTACAGCTGCTGTGAGAACATCTTAAATCCTTTCATCCACAGAACCGTGCTCATCTAAAACTAATTAAACACGTGTAAATAAATGCTTAATGAAAACTACTCATTATTTTGTTTTATTACATGCAAACAATTGACTTATAAATAGTTAAAGACCTCATATTTTATAACAAAAATATAATACTATACATTTTGAAAATAAAAAATAATAATCTCAAGGTAATATTAAAATAATTGGTAAACCTAAAAATGAGAATTTAATAGATAAATATTTTTTGACTGCCACTACAGTCTCAAACGTGATTGAGTGTCACTTTTTTTTCGAAAATAATAATGTTTTTAAATGACACTTAAAAAACTGATATTACTTATTTAAACTTATTTAAAATATCATGAGATAGATATTTTAAAATAATTTGAAAGATTCATAAATGTGTTATTATTAATTCTGAAATAGATCATTTCATAAAACATTGATAATTTATCGAATAACAATCATTTGATTTGATTCTTGTATTGATTTGAATACTTAGGTACTAGTTTCAAATAAATGGTGGCACCCTATGGTGATATTGATTTATTTAACTATATCGCTCTCTATCATTGATCTTAGTAAAGTTTAAAGTTAAAAATTTTTTTTGCAAAAAATTGTTGCATAAATATTGTGATGTTACTTCAAATTCCGTGATTGTGCTTAATTTTTATACATAGATGGCAACACTTCGATATGGTGGCGAATGTCATGTCAGTGTTGGTCCAAAACCATCGGATTTGCCAACCATCAGGTGGTCGGTAGTCGGGGCTCGGATTTTCTGCCGTGTGGAGGACTTTTAAAGCTAACTATCAAAAGGCAGGCCATGTTACAATTATTTGAGTACCTGATTTAGCGCGATTATTAGCCTGATACAAATACGAGAAAAACTGAAATAATTCGATACAAACCTGGAATATTTTAATCAAATTTGTGAGCCAATCACAAGACTGTGTTTAAGAATCCATCTCATTTTAGCTACGGAAGGTATAAAAAAAACATCAAGTCAAAAAACCTTAATTTCCTTCACGCAAAATTACTAACACGACTTTTTCACAAATGTTGGTTTAATTTATCATAGCGACAATGAAAATTACTGAAATCAAACTAATAAATTTACAGGAAATAGTGATTTTCATTACATTTTATTTTTTACTTTTTTTTTGTAGTAGTACTTTAATGTGATAAAACTTTTATTTAAAGTATTTCTGAGTGGATTTTAATGATATTTAGTAGAATATGTGTTTAACTCAAAAGTCTGCTGCATACTTATTTTGCGTGTCATCATATATATAGAATATTGTATACCAATATTCCCATGGAAATTTTCATTGGATTCAAAACAAAATACCTCTTTTGCCCTCTTGTATGACCATGATGGATCGAGTGATATGACTTTCACTGTGTGTCATCAGATGCCGACATAACCTCTATGATTATATACATTTAAGTGTACTAAAAGCTCAATTTAGTAATTTCGGAGTAAATTATCTGTGATATATATGGGGACAGACAACAATCAATCTTAAGAAAGCAGTGGTTCATTAACCTTACCATTATTAGGGACCATTTGATAAATTTATTTCTTTCTGGCCACGAACTATGCACTTGGTCTAATATGCAGTACTAACTGTAGATAAATAAAGAAATGAATAAAACCTCCACTCTACGGACCACTTGGAATGCGTCCAGAGACCACCGGTTAAGAACCACTTCTTTAGAGAAACGAAACTCTAAACACAACTTTTTTCAAATTGATATATCGTCTTCCAGCTAGCCATAATGATAGTAAAACACAGAAGTTATGATAGAATATAATTTAAACAAAAACAACTAACTAGAAAAATATAAAAATAAAATGAAAATAAACAATTATCGATTAGTTCTGTTTATTGATTTCATTACTGTTATACACATTTCAAAATCTATGTTGAAAGTGAAGTAGTCTTAAAATTTTTAAAGATAGCTATTGTCTAACAATGTATTAAGTTGGGAAAAAAGTCTTTTCGCATATAGTATACATAAACTTAAAATAAAATCTTTCTCGATAAACATACAATATATATATATATATATATGTAGGTAGCATATAATTTGTATCAAGCTGTTTTCAGTAAAATTGAAAAGTTTAATTTTTAAAAAAGATAAGAATTCAAATAATGAAATGTGTTGATGAATCTAATGAATAATGAATTGATGAATCTAATGAAGAAATTCGATGCATTTTAAATTGTATTACAAACTCAAGCCGCGCAAATAAAATGTGGCGTTTGGGGACCTAGTGCAGTTTCTGTGAGAGTTGCTCAAATTTGGTTTACGCGTCAGTCCGGTAATTTAGATATCATAGATGCACGTCGTTCTGGTCGCCCAGTTACGGATAAAATTGATGCCATTTTTGATAAAAGTGGAGCAAGATCAGCAGATTAGTAGACGTATCTGAAAAACTGGGAACTGATCACATAATAGTTTTACGCATTTGAAAAAAGCTGGGTACACAAAAAAGTTGGATATTTGGGTATCTCAAGAGCTCATTGAAAGAAACTTAATGAAGCGTGTACTCATATGAGATTCTTTATTATGGCGTAATTAATCCGAACCATCTTTGAAGAAGCTAGTGATGAAAAATGGATCACGTACAAAAAGAAAGTGTGATAAAAGTCGTGGTCGAAGGTCGGTCAGGCTTCACAGATTGTGGCGAAACCCGGGTTAAGTCGCAAGAAGGTTATGCTGTGTATATGGTGGAATTGGAAGGGCATTATTTATTATGAGCTGTTACCGCCAGGAAGAACCATAGTTTCTGAATTCTACTGCGAACAACTGATGAGACTAAAGCAAGAAGTAGAGAGAAAACGGGCAGAATAAAATCAATGTATAAGGGGTGTGGTTTTTCATCATGATAACGCTATTTCTCATACACCTTTTGCCACTCAGCAAAAATTAAGAGGGTTTAGCTGGGAGGTGTTAATGCATCCGCCGTTCTGACTTTGCACCATTAGATTTCCACCTGTTTCGATCTCTTCAGAATTCTTTAAATAGAGTCAGGTTAACATCATGCGAAGAGTGCAAAAACCACTTACCGCATTTTTTTATCATAAGCCCCAATATTTTTGTAGAAACGGAATTATGTCCCTTCCTTCAAGATGGCAAAAAGTTATCGACAAAATGGTACCTACATACTTTAGTTAAATGTGAAATACTTTATTAAAAAATGTTTTGAATTTTCATATAATATGCGAAAAAAGTTTTCCCCAAACTAATATCATAATAATTATAAATATAATATTAATTATAATAAATAAGGCAAATTTAACAAAACTGACCTACAATGATTTTCTGATTGTTATAACTGCCTTTATATCTTAAACAGATTATACTTCACGATTCTGCACTTTTCTTACCAAGGCGAAAAATGAGTAGGCCATTTTGATTATCTGAAATGCAGATATTTTTAAACACAGTACATTTCTTTTACTAATGAAGTGAAATATTTATAAATATATAAAATGGGATAGTAACTAATTTGCCAATTTTTTTTATATAAATTGTTTGAAAAGAAAATATGTTTATAATACTTGAAATTAATTTCTAGTCATTGGCGTTTTAAAATCAATGAATAATTATAACAGCGACTTTTTCTTATCGAAACCTTTTAATTAGTAGTCGGACGCAGAAACATCTCGGAAATTGACTAGTTTACCATACCACTAAGGTTAAGAAGGTCTTAGCATTAAAACACAACAGGGATCGTGACATTTTTTTTTTATTAAGTTGTCACGTAAATATTTAATATCTACAAATGTAATGCGAGTTTAATATTCTTCAATAATCTACCTGACTTATTGAAGATATTTTTTATTAATTTTTAATAAAAAATATTTTTTATTAAAAAATACTAAATAGATTAGAGAATAGATTTTTTCATTAAAAATAGAATATCTTTTTTTTTACCGAGGTGTCATTCCTATAGAGTTTGACTGAAGAAACATTGGTAAAAATACTTACCGATACAAATGTACTAAGAGTCAGAGGGAACATTTTCAAACCAGTAAATACTATAGGCGTATTAGAACGTTCAACAAACAAACGTAAGCTGCGTTTGTATGGCTCCGATTGCGGTATCCATTCACTGGCGTAAGCAGCAAATGCCAACTTCTGACTCTATATAAACACATAATTTCAAAAGTACACTTGCAAAAATAAACAGCTGTAGACATAAAAATCAATTTTTTTTTTAATAAGTTGAGGACAAAGTATTAATGGTTTATACTTTGATTTAATTAATATATTATATTAAAAATTATTCGACTTTTTGTTCCTCCCATACCAAACACCAATTTCATATGTAAAGACCTAATATTTAGGAATCGCCTCAGGTGAAAACACTAAGCATACCGCGCGTAGCGCTAGGCGTTTGCGTAATATGACAGATCACAAATGTATCAAGAGAAAAAAACAATTTGTTTATTTGGAATTAAACTAATATCTATGGGTAATTCGTAAGACTTAGTGTTTCCTTGTTATGGTATGCCTTGTTCTAGATAAGTGAAAATGGGTGTAATCGAAATAAAACTTTTTTATATTTCGCTAGCTATTTTCCCGCAACTTCACTTCCGTAAATTTTAACCTATGTCACCTGCAAATGATTTATTTATTTAAAGATAAATTATCTAGAAAGTTAATACTAAAATAATCTTCTTCCTTACCTCGTAAGTCATCTGTGTTCCTAGATATGCTGGTAAAAATATTTGCATTACCATAACGACTAAATAACTTAAGAGAACCATAAAGCTCTCTGGTGAAGATACCTGTGAATAAATCAAAATATTAATATAATATTAAGTAAATTGGCATTAAATCATCCTTTGTGTACCTTCGAGTAAGGTATAAGTATTAAATTAAATAATAATAAATAAAATATAGATACAGTGTTATTAAAAAAGGAATATATTGAGTAGCTCAGTGACATAGTCAAATCTTGCCCACGATCTTTGTCGTTAAGCAACTTTCGGTGTCGGTGAAAAAAGAGTCGGTGACGGAATGGGTGACCAAAAATTATTATATTGAACTACTCCGTGCGTCGGAATGCAAGCACGGAATAGTTCAAAATAATAATAATTTTCACAGACAAAATATTTTATGAGAGTGATTAGTCCAATATCCAAACTTTTTGGATGTTTTTTTTTTTTCATAAAAGCTTCAGTCTGTTAAATTGTAAAATAAACTTAAATTAAATTGTAAATACAACTAATTGTTAAAAAAAAACATATATTTTATGGGTTAATGCACATGATATTGTATACATGATATATGATCATATTATTCAAAAATAATATGATCCATTTATGATGCGGCGAAATCAAAACCTGACATTGCCTCTGATGCACAAATAATCTTCACGGATATAACTTTAAAAGAATTAAGAACGATTTCAAATTTTCCAAAATTTCGTTGGTAGACAGGCAGAGTAAGCCCCCAGATGTTGTCTTGTTGTTGCATGACCGTACTTCTCGTTCTGTCATATATATATATATATATATATATATACACATAAAACAATTCACATACACATAACAGACTTCAATTTGATAAAACCCGTTGACAAAAGAATAAGATTGCATCTAATTAGAATTGCGCATACACATCTTAAACTATCATATCAGCGCCTACGTCATTAATGATAATTCTATTATTTTGAACTATAGTGAAATAATTAACTATTTCTTACCATTAAGAGGGCCAACGCACATATAATGCAAGTGGCCAAGCAAAATTGTACAAACATAGTCCCGCTTATTATTTCTTGAACAATCGAACTGTATCTGAAAATTAAAATTTTAGTTTCTTTTATATATATATTATATTATAGGAGACGGATATTACATGATGATTACAACGATATAATAAATTAAGTACTTAAGAATCCCCTCGTAATGCTGAAGTAGGTCATTTAACTTTGAAATGTTCCTTTTCGAATTGGCTGTCTTGTGGATTTCCAGTTTCATTTCATGAAAGTTATGTTTGAGAATTTTCAACTGAACTATGTTCATCATCATTAAACCAGCGATAAATGTATCAATATTTATGTTATACGTCATATGACCGTATATGCCAAAGCATTGGTACAACGAAAGAGCCAGAAAAAATTTTGGCGTATTTCCTCACTCAAAAAAAAATATTGACACACAGGCAAATCCACTTTTGTTTTCCATATTAAATATATCAAAACGGGTGCAAGGATTTGCAACACGTATGCTAAGTGCGATAATATCGCTATGGTTTTCCAAAACACTTTGTAATTAGATATATTTTTAGCAATAATATATTCTCCAAATTGATCTTTACCCTGAAATTGCTCACAGTCTAGCAATTCGAATACTTCAATTATTTTCTCTCGCATCCTGATAATCATTGCTACTTTGACAGCCACAGCTATTTCAGTAAAATAATATATGCCTTCGCCTGTAAGTGTTTCAATTTCAATTGGGGTGAAAAAAAGACTAACAGTCAACAAAATTAAATAAATCACCAGCGTAAAAAATATATAAGCGAATGAGTAATATTTGTAATATTTTGAGGGATTTCTTCCCGGCCATATTCCGAAAATATTCCAGAATAACGTGTTGATTTTATAACAAGACGATTGTCCTTTCGATTCCATGATTAATAAAGAAATGAATTCAGTATTTTTTTTTTATGAAGCCGCCACTCTTATTTTTACAGGTCTAATTTAGACCGAAAGTGTTATATTATATGATTAACCAGTCCCACTGTAATTATAAAAACGTTCTTAGCTAATTACACAATGAGTAGGAGCTAAAATGTAATTTCTTAACTGAATAAATTATTATCAAATGTGGACAACGAATTTTTTCACGCTATACTAACCACTTTTTACCGATGTTCATTTCTTGTAATGTACATATTTAAATAGAAGGCCAATCTGATGAAGTTTATATGGACCGAGCGAGCGACACCGCTGGTGGTTGAAAGTTTTTACATATGAAACCAACAATGTTATGATTATGATAATGCTCAAGTTTAGAAAAAAGATGTTGGCAATCTGTTTACGGAAAGATGTTAGAAATATTTTCGCCTTTTCCAAAGTTTAATAAGTAGTGATGAACCCACATTTTATTCGCCAGACTGACCTAGACTGATATTCCTGAACAATCTGGGAGCGCGGAAGAGCAAAAAGGTAAAAGGGCACGGTCGAACTTTTCTCGAAGCCATTCGAACCATTTTTGACCCCCTGTAACTTCATTTAGATTCTTCCATAACATAAGTATGGTTGCAAAGTTTTATAAATTTGTACTTAACGTTAACCTACTCAAGTATAGTAAAAATATTTTTTATAAAACTTAATATAAATAAATTGATTTAAAGTTATTGAAGGCTAAAATTTACTATTGATACAAGAGACCACCATTCTCATACCCAGAACTTTTCTCACAAATTAATTAAAATAAAAAAAAAATCTATAACTGAACGGTATACATTCAGTTTACGTTGAACTGAAAAGCACTCTAATTAAAATAAGGAAATCTATCCACGAAAAATCTAAATTTATTGAAAACATTCTACTGAGACTTCCCACGTTCGTCCACTCAACTCAAAGTATAGAGATAGAGAAATTTCAATTATCTTCTGTTCAGATACTTGTGGAATGAAGTGGCGGTCCTCATTTTAATGTTATACCCTACTGGATTCTATGAGAGGAGTAGATTAAAACAATGGACGTGTTTGCAATTTCTAAAACCGTTGCAACCCTTTGGGTGCGTTCTAATTGCAGGGGTGTGCTTGGGGCGGCAACAGCGTGAAAACCTTCAGCCTTTCATTCTTGCAAGCTTAGGATACCGTGCACGGCCCATTTAATGCTTACTGATATTATAATGAACTGATTTGGTGGGATGGTTTTAATTTTCTATATCCTTGAAACTTTATTTTTTGATTCATACGCGTTTATATATTAACTGCATGTAAGAGTAATATATAAAAATAATATTCCTTATTTAATTATGTTAGTTAAGAATCTAATACAAGATTACGACTGAAAGATACTCAAATTAATATTAGTTACAAGTTATTTTTATTTCGGGTACCTTTATCAATGAAGGAAGACACGCACGGTACAAATTTAACCCTTCGTTGCGTACTTATTTATGTATTATTATCAAGAGATAAAGTTCGTATGATATTATGATGTACTAATAATTAAATTTGAAAACAATCTTTTTAGCTTGAAAAGTCCGATGAACATATTTTACATTAATCTTAATAAGCAAGTACGTAGATCCGATAGTGTGTTGATGTACAATAAAATAAACAAAATCCTTAACATTTACAGTCTTACCTTACGAAAATGTGAAATCGTGGTTGATAAATGGCTTCATACAGTTTACTGTTTTTATTGTATTATGTACATTACCTACTATATTTAATAGGAAGATAATATACAAACTTTTCATTGTACAAAACATAAATAAAGATATCAAAAAAACAAAAACAATAATCAGTAATTTATTCACATTGAGCATAACAAAAAACAGACAAATGCAATAAAAACAAACATCTATATACACAACTAACAGAATTAAGTACTTACGCCTAAAGACATCTGCTCCCCTACCGATTCTATCGTTGCTAGAATGGCAATAGTAATAAAACAAAACAAGTCAGCTGATGCAGAAACATATCCCTGCAGGCAGATTTGCCGCAGCCCCGCTAATTATAAGGCGGTATCCGCAAAAACGTACCCTAGCCCGTTTCCCCTTCTTGATAGCAGTACTTTTCCAAGACATCTATGAAGTCTCTACTTCTTTAACTGAATTACATTTAATAATGACAATATAACTGTGATTAAATACGAATTTGTGCTCTTTAACGTTAATAATATACATGAAGGTTTTATATAAAGTAATTTTTATCTATGAAGCTTTGTGGTTGTGACAAATTACACCCTTTCCTAATTTGTTGCAAATGCAGCGTGTAATGTAGCGTAGAGCTTGTACGTCAAAACCTACTTTAAAAGATCGTAAAGGTTTTATTTCATTAATCCTCTAATGCTGGGACAACGCTGTGTTCGTTGCTGCGTTCGACGGTGTATTTTTAACAGCGTAGCACTGTTGACTCACTATTTGAATGAATCTTTTACAAAAGATTCATGCATTTATGTATTGCATAGTTTATATTAAATCAAACCTCAAACATTCTTTGAGCTAATAATGGCTAAATAGATTAAAAGAATCCGTAAGTAGTGCGATTTTTTAGGCTTATTTTCGTTGATAGATTATTGGTTTATCGACTAATATAATAAGCCTGCAGAAATCGCCTGCTCGCATGAATGACGCTAATTATCTCAAACTTGTTATTAGTTTCTAGAAACTCGAAGGCGTATAATAAATATAATAAAATTAAATTTCTGTCTTAATTATAACTTTTCATATATAAAGACCTCCCGATTTAAGATTAACTTAAAAGTTACTTAATTTAATGTTGTTCATTTGTTCGTCAGCTGTGATGGGTTAAAATATATCTAAAAAGTAAAAAATGAAAGCAGACTCATTTACGTAAGCCACTGCCAAATTGGCAAAAGTGGGGCTGGCCTATGAAAGACTGCATACCTTAATGATGGCTTCAGGCCAGTTGGGTTCATTGTTACCGTACGTCGCCGGAAAATTACAGAACTTGGAAATTGTAGGAGAGCTGCCGATGCACTTTAATTTCACACACTAGTTCATTGTACTAGTTGGATCTTGTTAAAAATTTTCAAACAGTTTCTTGGGAAATTTTTAACGGTGAAGCTATATTAGTAACTACGTAGCACTTGCCTATTGGAAATTTAGTTTTAGTTGTGAAATATATCGGATTATTCCTGTGAAACTTTCAGTGGTTGTTTAGTCGTTACAAACTATATTAATCGTTACAGATGACGACTGGCTAAAGAGTAAGGTCTTTAGCCATATGTCTTTTGGTGGTGAAACATATCGTTTATAAAGCAGGTATATGTTAAATATAGAGATGGTTTAATAGTCTAATGCAGTGATTCCCTAAGTGGTCCAGGTGGACCCCGAGGAGTCCACGAGGGATTCAACGGGGATTCAAGAGCGCCAATTTCCGTCGTTAGATCTTCATATTTTGGACAAATTTAGGGAATATGGTAAAAATGTAACAGCAGGGGTCCACCGAAAGCAGTATTTTTTTTTATGGTCTATGAAAAAAAAATGATTGGGCACCTCTAATATCTAATGGTCAGTTGCATAAAGATTCAATGACTTTAAACTCTAATAAATGACAAATTTGTATAGGTAATGACGTTTTAAACTAATACCATTTTAATTAACGTTTGTGCAACTGGCTGTAAGATGTTATAGTAGGAAAACGAAACGAATTATTGCCATAACATCATTATGACATCGCATGCTGTGTAAAATTATGAGATAAACTTATTCAATTAAAAGACAACTGTGTTGAAAGAATTTCAAGATCTTATACAGGGAATATACAGCATATTAGGTACAACATAAAACGTCAAATTTGAGAATTAATTTTGAATTTAATTATCAAAGAAAATAAGGCAAAATTTAATTAGATTTTTTTAATCTTTTGTAGTACCTGACATACGTAACTTTTGTTATAATTCAGCACCTGCTCACAGCCTGTTTCCTTAACAGTTGTAGAATTCAATCAAAGATTTTTTTCGTTTTACAAAAAAGTGTCTGCGATATGATGTATAATATTATGTCTATTTTTTATTTTATGTTACAAACGACTTTATCGCGTATTTCAAACGGTAATAAAAGTTTTATTTCATTGAACTTTGTTGTGATAGTACTGTCCTCGGCGTCCTATTTGAGGTCTGATATGTTACAGAATAACATAGTTGCTAAAGAGAAAACAATACTTTTATGACTCCAGTTACTAGTTTGAATGACAGAAACTAACTCATTCTGATATCTTTTTACTTCTAGAAATCAACGTAGTGCACTAATAAAACCTTTTACAATACAACGTATTACCTACTGTAACTATTTGTAGGCATATTGCAATACCAGCACAATTTTATTTTAGGACTTCCTACTCAAATAGTAAAACAGGAAATCTTTTACATCTAAGCTTCAAACATAATGTATTTCTGTAGCCGCTGTAGCAACAATAAATGAAAAAAAAAAAAATATAATAAAATAAATATTTAAGGTGGCTCTCGTACACCAAACGTGATTTTTTTTTTTTTTGCTGTCACCAGCCAAATCTCATGAACCGTGATAGTTAAACAGTTGAGATTTTCACAGATAATGTATTTCGATTCCCGCTATAATAACAAATGAAATAAATGTTTAAGGGGGTTTCCATATAACAAACGTGATTTTTTACTCGTTTTCCGTACAGAAATCTACGTGCGCGAGTGCGACTCGCACTTGATTTTATTTCATTTTATTTAATTACATTATATATAGATAGAATCTTAGGTCATAATAAGAAGAAAGAGTTACACTCTTTTAGTCGCTGTATATTTAGTTGTTAAGGAAAGGAATCATTTCCTTACAAAAGACCAAAAAACGTTTGTTTGTTTACTACAGAGCTAGTGCTGCCACCTATGCCAAGCCTGCGTAATATTCTATTCAAAAAGTAATGTGATGCAACTCGAGCCACTGCGTCCTGTTATATTCCCGGCGATTTTTCACCGCCCCGTTTCGCCTTCTTTTTTAATTAAGTGAAACTAAGAGGCCCTTTTGTTTTAGCTCCGTCGGCTAATTGCCCGCCAGTCAGTCACTTGTCATCAACAACGCTTTATTTACCCACTTGCGTTTATAAGACAAATCTTTAAACAGAAACACTCGACGGTATTGCGTTGCAAGAAACTCATTTTGTTGTGAGCTATATTTTTCTTTTCTTTATTTATTCTTTTTGTAAACTTGAAACCTATACAAATAAAAAAGAACCCCTTATTGATAGTAAAAGTTCACTGGCAAACGTTAATTCTAAGTTATTTAATTAAACGCAATTAAAATTCTTATTGAAAATTAACAGAACACTCAATACAATACAGTTAAGCATTAATTACTATTGAGGTTGATTTTAGTATATTAACTAAATATACAGTACTTATGGTAAGCTGAAGGTGAAAGAGTTTTTCATAAAAAGATATGTATGTGGAACTCATTGTTCCAGACAACACACAGCCTGAACCACTGGTCGTAGAGACTTGAAATTTGGAGGAGACGTAGAGGTGTACCGGTTTTTGTATATTTAACCCCGAAGGGGCTTAAAAAGGGTGATTACATTTGTATGAAACATCTTTTTTTTAACCTATATCGAATAAAATTGGTATTTTAGTAGTTTAAGACTGGGAAAAGCAACACTTAAACGGGAGTGGAAGTTTTTGTCGGCAATCAAAATGTAACCATAGCAACAATTGTTTACAATTTGATTTGTCATTGTAATAAATCTATGTAACATTATTTATAAAGATTTCCTTATATATAGTGATAGAAATTGGTATTCGATAACATAATTTAGAACAAAAATTACACTTTCAATATAAAATTAAGAAAATATTCAATACAAATCATTTTGTACGACCTTTTTTATATATTTTGAGCTATACTAGATGGCGTTAATTATATTCTACATCGCACTATTTTGGTCAAAGTTGAGTTTTAAAATAAATGTAGAAAGCACTTTGAGCTTTGCTTTTGTTTGTTACTAATAATTTTGCGTAGATTTCAGTTTCCGATTAAGTTTTGTATTACAAATTAAATTAATAGCTTTTAAACTTTCAAAGTACTGAAATATATTAGACATTAGTCGGTGTACATGTCGCGGGTTTCAAGTCAGAGAGGCATATACGCAACAACGAGTTATTTTTATAATGCAAATCTTTTCTTATCTATCAATTGACAGAACCTTTTTTTAAATAGTAATAGATAAATAAGTTAAAAAAATAAAAGTAAATCACTTTTCGACATGTGACCGATCGACATTTACGAGCAGGAAAATAATGTTTATTAAAGTAATAAATAATGTTTATTATTTTCCTGCTCTGTCTAATTTATATGAAAATAGATATTTTCTATTTTCAACACTATTCCTGTTACAAAGATGTGTAGCTGTTTTAGAACTTTTTGGTAATATCTCGAATACATCGGTAGTGCCGAGGTCAATCTAGAACATTCTTGATGTGGTATCGGACCGGCCCCTACAAATACGCGGTGGGCTTGCCTTCCCGGCATTCCTTCAGTAAATACGAGAGCAACAATATAATAGAATAATATTTATAAGTAGTAGGTTAATGATAATTATGTGTATATGTGCACAATTAAAATTAAAAAAAAAATCTCAATCATCTTAGAATTATCTTAAACAATAACTTTGTTGAATTGCCATTTAAAATTAGTTAATTTTGCTAATAATAGTATTCTTAACTAAAAGTAATAAATCTTGATTATAACGATCAATTATACGTCTCTAATATGGCAATTATCACGGTTCCACGTACCAACTTTCAACAACATGGCGGCATTAATTGACGATTTCGACTCGACTGCTAATGAGATATGGTACAGGTGGTACCGTCTATTAGCGAATACGAATAATTTGAAGAAAGTCGATTTGCTTTACTAGCGACAAGGATTGTTTGACTTGAAGTAAATCACTATAGAGTCATACAGGGAAAAGTAGAGGTCTCGCTCTCACACGATGGCTCCAATATTAATAAATTAGCTTTAAGTCTATTGTAATTACATGTTAGAAGATTATTTTTAGCATTTAACCGAGAAATAAATCCACGATTACATATAAC